ATTTGTTTCTACACATTGTTATACATGCCAATCGTTTTGAAATTGTTACAGTTATCATAGATATATTACTGTTGTTTGTTGATTAAAAATTTAGTTTTTTCAAAATTGAAATCTTTGTGCTTTGTTGTCCCTGATACACGATCAGAAAACCCCCACTACGTATACTTTATATCAGTATCACCATTGGAACCCTTTTTGGTCGCAATCGTTTAAACATTTAAACATTCCAAAAGAATGCTCAATGACGATTCTTGTACTGCACAGAGATTTATTGAATAGTTTCTCAGCATTGGTCACGTGTCCTGTGTCGCGATACAGCTTCATCAAAAATCTTGATATTGGGTAAGCTCCATCACCAATCAGATGATTTTGACCACAAAAGTGTGCCTGATTTGTAAACATTTGGGAATTTCTGAGAACTCGGGCATCGTTCACCCTTCCAGGCCAGCCGTAGTAAATGTCAGTGAGTACTCTGTCGTGTATGCATACTGCTTGTAAAATTACAGAGTTGTAGCCTTTACGATTTACATAATCTGCCTCGTTGGATCCTGGCGCGGTCACAGATAAATGTGTAACAACTATAGCACCCAGTACTCCTAGAAAACCTTTAATACTTTCAAAGGCAGACATTATATGCTGTTTCTTCACATCATTCGGCCAAATAATAAATCTTCGACATAGGCGGGTGCAAAACACATCAATAAGTCTTCGATTGTGACTAATAAATGTTGACTCCTGAACATGAAACCTGTCCGAAATAGATTTGACTGTATCTTGAAAGCCCAGGTTCCAAAGTGTCATCAACAGATCTTTCTCCAAAGACGTTTGCAGTACTAATAAGTGTCTAGAGTAGACGTTCTATACTATACAATTATGGACTTCAGTCTCGGTCTATTCCTGATTTACGGATCCACAATTGTTTTATGATATGACATTTTACAATGAGATTAATCATTTTTCATGTCATAAACACATGGATGGCATGGACCATTTAGGAATCACTGAGTGAAGGACTTCAAATACAAAATAGCATACACAAAAATTTAATTTCAGATTCAATCTATGTGATATTTAATTTTAAGTAAATATTATTTACCAGTTTCCCTCCTGGCAAGTTCGTGAATGTCCACCAAATGACGAAGAAGAGATTCAAATGTATCTCGTGATAGTCGAAACAATCTCTTGAAGTGATCAGGCAAATAGTTCGCGATGACGCTTTCAACATACTGGTTGATCTTATATCTGTCATTCCTGATTCTGGAAGATATAAACATTAGTAGAAAATCACAATCATGCTATCAATTCAGTGCGACATTGGTCAGAAAAAATATCTCTGGCCTGTTACCAAAACAAAATGTAGTGGTTGAAGGCTTTATGTCTGATTAACATGCCTGAATAGGAGATTTACTTTTCCGGCAGTGATGGCTGGCGTATTTGTTTAATGGAACATGTGACAGGTGTAGTAGGCCTAATAAATAATTTGTGAAAAACGCCCTGATATAATTTGAAAAGAAAACGCAGCTTTATTTTAAGTCGTAGTGACACATTTATTTCATTTAGCAAAACAAGAATATAATCCAAAAGTATACATATAAAAGTAGTGCATATTCAGCCAATCAAAATGATGGAAGGTATTATTAATGGTTTTGTTTTGTTTTGTTTTGTATTGTTTAATGTCCTATCAAGAGCTATGGTCAATTAAGGACGGCCTCCCCTGTGTGCAAGATACATGCGTGTAGTGTATGCGTGTGTGTTTTGGGAGGCTGCGATAGCGCGAAACTGATGCCGACTTTATAGTGCTACCTCACTGAAACATACTGCCGAAGACACCCAGCAGGACCCCCACCCAGTCACATTATACTGACAACGGGCGAACCAGTCGTCCCACTCCCTAAATTCCTGAGCGTTAAGCAGGAGTAGAAACTACCATTTTTACAGACTCGGTTTGTCTCGGCCAGGGGACATAACCCAAAGCCTTCCTCACAGGGGCGAACACTCAACTATAGGGTCAAAAGTGAGGCATTGTCAAGGGAGACATTAGGAAGAAGAAAGTTGTAAAGAAAGAAAAAAAAGATAGGATCTCAAATTTAGTCGCCTCTAACGATCATGCAATGGGGCAGCAGGTACAATTCTTACGCCCTAACTGCAGAGATAGGTGTTATTACACTCAAGCGCATGCTATCCAACTGTAGAGCGTGTTATCCAACTCTACAGCTTGTTTATCAATGCTCTGAGAGTTGATAAACATTGGCAATAGTGCATTAGTGGTAGAAACCAGATTAAAACCACCGACCGACGGCAAGTAACAAGCAACTTTCTCACGTCGGGCCGAAAAATACATAGTAAGACAGTTCTTAAAGTAACCGTCTCTAGAAGCATGTTTTAATAAATTATTTCCGTAGATATTATAAACATGTACCAATCATAATGACTGTGTTGAACTTATTGGATGTTGATATCAAGTCATGATGGGCTAGCAAATCTTAGTGGATAAGACACATACACAGCTGCGCATATAGCAGAAATAATAATCGATGTCGGACCTATTGCTTCCTACACGTCCATCCAGGTCAGGGATGAGGATGGCGATCCATCCTGCAACGACAGCGTGAGTTCGTTTATGTCTGCCATATTGGAAGACCTCCGACTGCTCGATTGTTATACCCAGAATGCTCTCTCCTGAAAGTATATGTATCTTCCAAATCAGGCCACGGTCAACGGCAATCCAAACGCTGGATTTTCACGGATCGAAAGTTCGGACGACAACTTTAAGAAATTATTTTGCAATAAAATAAAATAACACTTTTTCAATAAGCCATATTTTGCATAAATTTCCACAAAGATGCCGCCACAAAATGATTTGCTAAAAGATGAAGAAAGAGCCAATTAGATTTTAGCAGGGCATGTTCGCCAACCAAACCCTCATAACAACGGAGAGGCACCAAGAAGGGAAAGAGGCACCTTGTCAAAAGTCTAATGGAGGATTTGTGTGTCGCGACATTAAATCAGCTATGTATATAACTTGTATTTGCTTATCGATGTCAAGCAATGTAAAGACAAAAATAAGAACACACCAGACCATACCAAACTAAACTATGTTTTATAATATACCTTTTCACGGAGAAAGTTGGGCACAGAAACATGATATGGGAACAAACAAAATATCACGCGTTTTCGGTATGGGATGGTTATTGTTTCAAAAGCCAGACGTTTGCTAAATTGGCTGATACATATGCCATGCGAATACGCGACGAAACAACTGCTTTAGTAAAACAGTTGTCAGAGACATTTTTTTCTGACATGTGTTGTTTACTAAAGCAGTTGCCATGGAAATTACCTACTTCTAAATACAGATGACGTCTTATTACTAAAGCAGTGGTCGTGACGGCCGCTATTGGACATTGCACAGAGGAAAGTATTGCTTTTTTGTTTGCTGTTATTCTTTTTAATTTCATCCAAAGCCAGAACAATTGCAGTTTCTCAAGCTTTGATAATAAAGGCATTACTCGGTAAACGGCAGGAAGAAGACATATTGCAGACAGTACATGCTGCTGTAACTTTCTCTGCAACCGTAAAGCCGTCAGTATGTATGTGAAGGGAAATCGTAAAAAATAAAAAGGGACCTATTCAAATTAATCAGAGGTACTGTACAGTTTACTATAATTAGCACACAGCACTCGGTTCGCACCGAACCTTAATATGTAGTTCACACAGGACGGTTACCATACCAAAATAGCTACCACCTCAGCTAGTGGTTGTTGCAGCCCTCTCAGGATTGAAAAAGTCCAGCTTCCATCATCGCCCATAGTTGGAGCTACAATCAATATACGTACAATAGACTTACTACCTAAAGCTATACTCACTGACATTAAAAGGTAAAATAAACGTAAAGTATTGTTACTACCTATGTGTATATACAATGACAGTATAACTGTAAGACATATCAATACGCTATATCTACCAATTTACTAGTCAAAGTCTATATGTTTAAAGATATAAAAGCATGGCACACGCCGCCTTAATGTTTAGGGCAATATCTAATTAAAATTTATATCCACATCGCTCCCGGTTTATTGATATGAACGGGAGCAATGTGAAGATATAATTCTACCCGTGCGGTCCACTTAACCGTGACGCGTCGTACACCTGATCTCAATGTCTTATATATGGCCAATTAGATTAGAAAATGAGCAATTAAATGGGAATTCTTCATAGGTAGTACTATGTTAAATAACATTTAACAGGCTCATATACCTTGATCTTGTAAAGCTAAAACAGTACACACGCATTGTGCGCGCGAATCTAAACTATGTGCACCCGATATACAGGTATGGTCATTATATACAACCAAGAGGTAAAATGACTAGAAATATCACAGCTATGTACATGTCGTTAACTAACAATGGTATAACAAATAGAAACAATCACTACAATCTGTAGTTTGTGCTTGCTTACAAATTCTCAATCGCTATTGAGCGAAGCTACTTCAATCTGATTAGAATATAGCTCCTCATTATGCTACCGTTTTACTATCGTATGACAGTAGAACGGTAGAGGCTGTATATTAACCAGATTGGAAGCTACATGTACATGTACTTCATGGATTCATTCATGGATACCTGTCGATCCCTAATTAAAATTCGTAGACGAATGACCAAAACTTCGTCTCAGTAAAGTAATACATTTAATTAAATGATACATTTTATCAGTGAAATTTGATAAAACATTAATACAATTATATTAGTGACCGTGACATCAATTTACAAGCAGTAATGTGCCGTAAGATTGGATTGGAGGGTGTGGGTTTAGATTTGTAAAGCAAGCGACAACTTAAATAATTAAAACAAAAAAAACATGGATTTATTGTAATCAGTGTTTATTTGTAATTCATGATTTATTTTTTATTTTTATTTCCCGCAGTTTAAGCCAGAACAGTGGAATGCCGACAGGTAACCAGTTCTGTGATTATATTACTAAAAAAACACTTGTAACCCTGGTAGGACAAGGAAGAAACATTAACAGTACCGCTGAACAAGACTAACACCGTAACGCTACACACATCTTACTTTCTTGTTGTAGGCGATTTGGAAGCAAACCGAAGGGAAACTTATGATGGCCGCTCTCGACGTGTCTCGACCAAGGGCAATGCTTTTATGTCTGGTAAGTACCTACTGAACTTAATATGATTTCTGATTTTTTCATAAAAGCTATCTTCTTTATCTGCTTAAATATGCTGAATAATTATTTAAATAATTATCGTTCAATTTTCTCTATTGACTTAACAGTTAATGTACTTCAGGAGAATTTTTAGGCTGATTTAACTTTCTTTGCAGTTAATGATCAAAATTCCTTCTTATTTTGAGATTTTGAGCGGAAGTTGATAATGGCATAATGACATTTGCCCAATCTGTGAAAGTAAATAATGATAACATTTTAAATTCTCTGGAAGTTTACTTTAAACATATTTTATTGCCAAGCAAATGGATTGGGCACAAGTTATCAAACTTATATTAAGCCCTTTCCTAGCAAATTACAAGCATATATTTACAATAGTACAACAAGATGGCAGAATTAATTTAGATATATACACTATTTCATTTTTAAATGCTTTAATTTATAAATTGAAATTATAAGAGAGAGACAGAGAGAGAAAAGGGAGGAGGGGAAGAGACAGGGGGGATAATAGTCTGTAATTATAATACATATATCCTCATCATTATTAATGTATGACATATAGTATCTTCCTCTTAGAGAGAGTGGATATTATGGTTCAATTGAGAGAGAGGGAGAGAGAGGGATCAAGGGGGGGGGATACTAGAATCTGTTAGAGTCACGAATGTATTGCTGAGTATGCATGAATATCGTTATGTTTTCCTGTTCCGAAAGAGATGTATCTCCAAATAGAAGTAGATTTAAATTAAGAGGCATGTATTCATTCAGTTCACGATAAAGCTTAATTCTTTGTTCGTTATATATATCACAGGTAAAAAAAGAAATGGTGTGTGTCTTCAATAGGGAAGCCACATTAAGATGAAGTAAATTAACTGTTAAGTCAATAGAGAAAACTGAACGATAACCTGGAGATCTTAATATTACACAAAGAGACACGAAATCACCAAACGGTAACCGATAGAAACAAAGCCAATAAAACTAAAAGCTTTTCCTTCAAAGTCTTTGTAAATAAAGATAATGAAGAGGTACAAAATATAACCAAGACACTCATCACAGATTTATCAGATTTAATTATTCAGAAACATATTAAGTGTAAAAAGTCCTATATTAGACATAATGTATAAGGCAGTATGCATCCAGCGTTTTGAGGGCTCTTCGACAATGGTTTATCATTAAAAAACCATGCATTAGAAAATATACCAGACAGTTGAAAAAAGCAAGTGTCCGTATTGTATCTGTGTCATACACAATAATAGAGAACAACAAAAGTACCGGGGTAATACGGGCCTGTAAGTCTGTCATTTGTAAGGTCATGGAAACAATTGTTAGAAACCTCATTGGAAATTACTTTAATTAAAAATATGGATACTTGCTGGAAAGAACCAAAACACCACACTATTACCTGAAGTCAGGACAAGAGAAACTTCATAAAAAAATCTAGAATCATATACTAGTTAAAGTCAAATAAATTTATTGATTTTTAGTCCATCTGTCATTCATCACTTTATCCTTTAGAAAACATCTTCTGTAGAACTGAAAGGGCTATATATTTAGCTAGTAGCTTTGCCGGATGGAGCCTGATATATTGTGCAAAAACCAGATGACCTTGACTTATTTTCAAGGTCAGAGAGGTCAAATATATCTATAACGACTTATTTTGAAGAACAAATTAGAGTCATGATATTTGGCTGGTGGCTTCCTAGAAAGGATCAGAACAAAGTTTGTAAAAAGGCCTTTATCTACTTTCTTTACAGGTGTAAAAGGAGCGGTTTCTATCTAAGAAACCTAACCCAGGTTCGTTGATCTTGGGCCCATTGGAGTCTTATAAATTGATGAACATGAAGTATGGCAAATGAACATAGACTCAAGGATTTAAACTTCAATATATTTTATTCAACACAAGTGTAAAGTAATAGCAGTACAGTACACGATAACATATATCTCACCCACTCACGCACTCTATACAACACCGTTCATTAAAACTACTGGCTACGAGGCATACTCATACACTTCTTGCTATAAGCATAGACGACGGACTCTACATTGGCATTCTAAGGAGACATGTGTACAGACTACTTCCTAACCCTAACGCTAAACAATATACAGCTGGCCCTACATTATTACCTAACGAGTCCCAGAAAGGAAGAGAAAGAGAGAGTCAGGCAGTCTTACAAAGACTTTACTTCTGACTGACGAACTATGCAAAACCACCGCTTTATATAGACAGAATCACGGCACTTTGCACGTGCAATAGTCCCGCAAAAGCTACTCGGAACACTTCCGGTTACGTAACTAGTTTCCGAGTGTGAAAACAACAAGATGGACGACGAAACGTGGTGAACTGTCAATTGTAAATATCGAATGTTAAGTATCCGAATTATCTCCACTTTTACACAGGGATAAAATATGTCAAAACTTCACACACACACACAAAAAAAAAAAAAAAAAGCGTCATCATGTTATTTGGCTGTAAGTTTCCTGAGAAGGATCCCAACAAAGGTTGCCAAAAACGTCTATGACCTACTTTCAAGGTCACAGTATTTATATACGTATGTCAAAAACTTCTTCTGATGAACGAAAAGTTTAAAGTCATGGTATGTGCTGCTTTGGATTTATTGAGCCGGAAAAAAATTGCAGAAAAAAATTACCTCGTCCTATCTACTTTCAAGGTCACAGGTGTCTAATATGTCAAAAACGTCAAACAATTTTATTGGACACACATGCTGCAACAAGATTCGAAGGTAAAGGAGAAGTAAAGCAAACAATGACTAATCAAGATGCACTGTGGTATTAGTTGGTACATGTATATGTTAATAATATGTAAATTAGCAGAACAAAGATACCAAAATATATCTCTTACTCATACAAATTTCAAGGAAATACCTCTCAAAAAATCAGTCAAGGAAAAAGACATTGAAGTTATTTATTCATATTCAACTTTGTGGACCACCTAAGTGAAAAGGTTAAAACAAAAGCCAACTCAGTGCATGCCATCGTAAGGAGAACCTGTCAATGTTTAGAACATACAATATTCATGTCCATTTATGTTTACATTTGGAAAAATGCTTGAGCAATCTTCTGGTCACGGACCTTACAAGCTGAAGATAGAAAGTGTACGGCATCACACTTCTAAACAGCTACTGGGGATGAAATATCTAGAATATCCAGAAAGGTAAAGGAAATAGCCTGAGTAGCTATATCATACAGAAGAATTCAACTGGGGTGGATTTAGATATTTAAGACATTGCACAGAATTTGCTATAGAAAGGCCTGTGTTTATATGAAACTATACAAAATGAAAATGGAAGAAAATAGTTCTATGTTGATCATTAACATTCTTGACGAGAAATTATATAACCTTATGTCCTCTGTCCAAACCTACATGTACCTGAAAATAAATTGCCAGAGAATATTGTTTCTGCATCTAACACAAATACTTATGATAACACAATAGATCAACTATTGAAGAACGAAGATTTTTATTACAATTACAAAGCGCATATAAGTGAAAGTGAAATATCATTTGAATTATACTAGCGTCAACATCATATAATTTAGTGTATAGGAGCTTCAAATGCAGCTCCTGTTTTGGATCTTTCCAAGCTATCTTGATTCAGGTGAAAAGTTTCCATGGATAAAAGTACTTAACTCTGGTTGACCAGACTGTGTTTTGTCATGGTAAATGTTAATGGACAAAACATAAAACAACATATATCATTATGTATTGTTAACATAAAGTATCTACTGTTTCCATTCTAGAAACCAGTTATACATTCAGTGTAGCTACAGGAAATGATGCAGTGATGCCACATTCCAACCAAAGTCAATACAGTTTACAGGTGGGATGTCAAACAAAAGCTGCCAGTGAGTAGGATATCTATAGCTAGTTTGACAAAATTCTAGTATGATATTTCATAGGCATAACAATTTACTATTTTTTTCAAGGTATCAAAAAAGGGTTTGTCTCTACTTTGAAGCTTATTGAAAAGGTTCAGCAAAATATTAACTGGACCAATAACATCGCCTCCAACTTTTTAAGTCTACATTGATTAGATTCTATGACAGTGACTTGTAATAGGGAAATTTTTAAAACAATGCTTACTGTCAAGGCTTTACTTATTCTGGTTGATACATATATGTACATGACCAAAGGTATTCCATATTTATCCTTGACATATTGAGATTATCAAGGTGCAATTTCAAGGTCTCAGATATATAAATACATGCGATAGATTTTTAAAAGTGTTGTTTGTGTATGCATTTATCAGGTATCAACTTTATTTGTAATAAGCTATTTACTCCTGATAAGTTCTAGATGTGTTCAAATATTAGAAATACTCTTCAGTGTCAAGATATCTGGTTAATAAATAGTGAAATTCAGCATAAATATATTATTTGAATCAGGTGATTATTCTAATAGTCAAGGAGGCAGGAAGTGATTTCAGTACAGCAATTACTTATGTTTAATAACATATGTTGTGATATCTGTAATTGCTCCACATGTTCCTTTTACAGTGTCATTGGGGCCGAGCATCTTAGTTGTATCACAGGAACAGAGTCGACAGTTTACCCCGAACTGGGCCAAGCCTACCGTTACAAATGGTGATCTGTGGGGATACATACTCATATTGTTGGACTGGAGCACGTGGATCCAGGAGGTCATTTTTACCTGTACCTCATGTACAGGGGTAATGAAGCTTCATTCTTGTAGTGCGATAAAAAAAAATATTGATCAAATAATAATGTTCAACAACAATATTAATGTCTTTGTCTATTACGTCTAAATTATATATAATATAGGTACATGTATAAAAAAAATCATAAATACGGGGCACACATTAAAATTGAGACATATTTTACAATACTTTTTATTCTTTTATGCCATTTTGCATTTAAGATAATACATGGGACAATCTTGTTGAATATTTTCAGTATCCACTCCTTTAAGTGAACATAAATACTTTATATCTTTATGCTGATTTCAGTATTATATGGTGTAATGAATTGGTTTACTTTTTTCATGATGTTAACTAGCTAGACTGTCAAAATAACCAGAAACCTTTAGGGATTTAACATCATCTGACAAAAACACTATCAACATACCATAGATAAATAAGATGAAAATGAAAAAAAATGTTTTATTTTCCAGTGGATGCATATCTCCTTCATATGCCAAAAAGGAGTCAAACAAACAAAGACGATTCTACCTACAGATCTAGATAGTTACACCTACACTGTCAAGACCCTTCTACCATATATCAACTACACAGCCAGTGTGGTAGCTGTTAATGCTGCAGGAGACGGTCACCCCTACATACAGTATGCCATGACAGACCAGGAAGGTAATGCAAAGTATCTTTGAATATTCAGCTATAATTCTAACATATGTGCAGATCTAGCTTAATGTTCCTTGCTGTCATAATTTCAGATCAGTAACAGTGACTGGCAGCAGGATCGTATACACTGTACCTTGGTATGACATGTTTGCAAGCACAATGGCCAAAGGCATTTTCACCAAACTTCGTTTCAAACAGTTTCTTTTAGTCTTGACCAAATTTCTTGTGTTGATTATTGACTTATTCGTAGACTCATAATTATCTGCATCAACACACCAAAGGCACGTTTTAAGCTAAATCAGATAGAAATGATAATTCGTTTAAAAAGGTTTTAATTATGGTTATTCATTAAAATCTAGCTATTCCAGACGTGTTTCTTTTAAATATTGATTAATTTAATATCCCTATGATATTTCGTTTGTATTATCTCAAAAACACTTGACTCGTACGTACCGGTATATATTGCTATTTGATTTACTAATATAATACAAGTTATACGACGATTGGGAAATAACTAATGACCCTACTCTGTTAGCTGTATTGAAATTAAATAAGGCTATTCTAACCTATTGATAGAGTTGGTGGGGAGACATTTTTAATCCGCGCAAATTCAACCTGGCCGATTAAACTATTACTTCCCTTTTGTACCACTGATTCGCAAATGGTAAAACTTTCTTCTGACTTTTTGTAGAATTGTGTCATGAAAATATGGCCCCTTTATTATACCATGTCTTGAAAAATATTGATCCTAGGAGGTCTTTGCTAAGCAGGTGTGCACCACTCAGACAACATTCGTTATTTATTATCATTAATAGTCCGGCCAACTGCAAATAATCATGTAATTTTTGGGTTGCTACTTCGTTCTATAAGCTTATTTCGAAAAAAAATTAACTATGCACTTCTTTAACTTCTACTTAGCATCAGCAACATAATGTATATAATGTATCCTACAAATAAACCGAGTAATTGTGATTTTTAAAATTTCATGGATTTATAGATAATAAATCAATCATACTAAAGTTAAGGTAAGTATTACATCATGAACATTGGTTTTACTTCAAAAACCTCAAGTTATGCGATGAAATATGTCATGCTGCGTAATTGTTATGTTTATCAATATAAATGTTTAAGTAACATGTATTTGTGATGCTTTAATTGTTATGTTTCGTCTTGTCATGTTTATACTCTGATGTGCATTTTGCAATGTTTCGTCATGTCATTTTTATACTGTAATTTGCTGCATTTTGCAATGTTTCGTCTTCTCATTTTTATACTCTGATGTGCATTTTGCAATGTTTCGTCTTGTCATGTTTATACTCTGATGTGCTGCATTTTGCAATGTTTCGTCTTGTCATGTTAAACTCTGATGTGATGTATTTTGCAATGTTTCGTCTTGTCATTTTTATACTCTGATGTGATATATTTTGCGATGTTTCGTCTTTTCATGTTTATACTGTGATGTGGTGCACTTTGCAATGTTTCGTCTTAACGGTTTTTATACTGTGATGTGATGTATCGTCAACCGTCTATGCTGTGCAAGTGCTATAAGTATAATGTTATGTGTACGCTAGCACTGAATGAGTGAACATTGGCATTACAAACACGTTTATATCATTTATTTTGTCGTAACGTACAAACAAATGAATATACATGTAAGGTGAGTACATTAAATATATATACTGTTTAAGTATTCTGTACATATATTTGTGTATATTTCAATGTATTGTTTTTTTATCATATATGATAACTTTTAATCCAGTTTCAACATCTTTCTTCATAGGATTGTGTGTTGTTTTGTTAATCAACTGCTAAGGTAAATCAATTATTAGAGTTTATCTCTCATAGCCGCGGACGCAAAGAGGGTAAGTATATCTAACAAATATCACGGAAGTTAAAGTTTCATGTTGTTAACAGATGTTTATATATCTCTAAGTACATTCATGAAAAATGTAGATACACGGTTATTTGGTTGGACTTTTAATGTTTTCCTTTTTTTGAAAGTGAAGTGGACATCTATCGGCTAATAATGCAGACATTTTTTGTGTGAACTAAACCATATCTATACTTAAATTGTGCTTTTTCTTTTAATTCACAAAGCATTCTTTACATATGTTAGGTGAATATAAGAGTATTGAATCATGTTCCGTAATTTATTCTCTCTATATGTATAGTATTTTTTACTTTATTGAAATTATACAGGTCAATGAAAATATTCTACACCTCTTTAGAGATTCAGAATGCACCACTTGAAGAGAGGATATGTTACGGTAGGTTGTTTGTTTATCTTCTACTCATTAAACCCTGGAAGAAAGTATGTAGGACTTTTTTTTAAATATCAAAGGAATAGAAATAAACATATTCTCCAAAATATGCTTTAATACGTACATTTGTATCACAATTTGAGAATTTCACTTGTAGTTTGGTATACATCAATATAATTCCAAATTTGATTTTGCGCTTGGTTACAGGTTCTGTGATTGGTAAAAAGTAGTACATGTGACCCAAAAACAGCTGTAAATATTAGTATGAACGGCTGTTTTATTCCATAAACAATTAATTGTCGTTCGAGTTTTCTCCCATTGCCTAAACAAACCTTACCGTGAAAAAAATGCAACATCTACTGTTTATTCTTTTTTATTATTATTATTGTATCTTTGTCTCATTGTTTCTCTTAAGTGTTAGAAGTTTTAAAAATGAATATTTGTAAACTACAAAACTACAGTTTACCATGATTTGCACAACAGTGGCACGTTCTATAGTTTGACGAACCGACGATGTCAGTCTGATAAAGGTCAAACTGACAATATTTCGATGCCACAAATGGGTCTGCATAGTGATCAAAATAGTGACAATATAAGAAATTAATCGGTATGTTTCCAATATAAGAAAGTATCAAATGAGGTGAATTTACTTACACATATACTGTATTATCCATGAATTGCCAGGAACATGACGAACACGGCATGTAAACATTTAGGCCAACATACGCCCCACAAAGTGAGGCCGAGACTACAAACAACCGAACCCCGAGGAACGCGGGGTTGGAATTACGAATAATAATGTTTCTCCAATGACATGCAAATTAAAGTTCTTTCATATTTTGTATCCGTGAATGATCAATGAAACAAAAACTGTGACGAGTCTAGCTAATGCAATTCCCGTCATAATAAACACCGCTTTCCTTAAATCGGGTGTCAACCCCGGCTTTTCCGTTCTCCAGAATCATCATTCCTCCACTTTAATGTACACTGTTGTCAACTTTCTCTATGTAATATAGCGTAAGTTAAATTATAGCTCATTTGCAAATTAAACCACTGTTCCTTCAATGTTTTTCTCATTAAGGTCGCTCAAGCCTGATAAAGCGGCCGTTGGAAATCTGTCACGTGAATAGGTTTCCAGATCCCCGAAATGACGTTGCGATGTTACGTCATATTAGACACTAGATTTATGAATGAATGAAAAATGTTCGTAATTTAAATTATGTTTTTCGTTTTCCTTCCCTTTGATAGTGATTTGGAATTATTGAATCTATATTTTTCCAGTGTTCATGCAAGTATTTACATTTGGTCGCTCATATGGTGTGTGAGTAATTTTTTCCCGGTTCATGCTTGCATGAACACCAGAAAATGCAGATTCATTTCCCATATGGATCGAAACAACTTTAACATAATAGGTTTCATTGTTATAAATTTGCACATATTCGGCTTTTTCAGATTGTTTTGGTTTGATGCTGTTCAACTCGGTGGTAAACCTGGACTCAAATGCTATAAAAAGCTAGAAATTATGAGTAACTCATAATCCGTGGAAATTGTAATTAATATTCGAGTGATCAGTGATGCAGAAAAAATTGAACGAAGATCACATATTTGTTCATTCTTCGAACTATGTCGTTTATTGTACAATGGATGTCAACACCGACCACAACAGGCATTCTACATCGCTTCATACTGATCTCAGCACTGAATGGATGACTAATCCCCATTGCGATAATATTATTCGTCGTGTCCATCAGTGCATGCTGGTCAGATACATATGAACTATGTACTGTTCGTATTTTTTGCACATTTTAATCATTTCTGGTCATGCATTAGGGACGTGTGGTCACATTTACTGTTCCATTGTGTGTTATAAAGCTACGAGAGGCATATTTTGTCTTAATAGTATTTTGCCAGATTCAGCAAAACTGTAATATGTAGACATTTTGCCATAGCTTTAAATTTGACATTGGTCCAGTATTATCTCTGAGAGATGACCTGCAGGGAGATAAATGTTATTTCCGCCGTTTGGACGCAGGTTTCCATGGACTATCTCCGGTTTTTCCTGAGCGCGCAGGCTAACTCGATGATGAGGGTATCTGTTTGAACTAAATTCACGCACAGCATTCTGTTCTCTTAATGCCAGCAGTTACTACAATTGTTTTATGTTTAGTATTTACAAAATGTCATTAAACACCGACCACGCTCTGTCAGACCGACGACGAGCTGGACGGCAAATGGCATTTTTTGTGTTAGTGTTGTCACTCTAGAGAAACATGAAAGCAATGATATACCACTTTGTATATCAGACCTGCCAAATCATATAATGTTTCACCTGTTTTATCATGCTACATGTTGTCGGTGACTTCAATTGTAACCTGTCTTAAAAAATCGAAATACTTGTTTTCTTATTTTATATTAACTTATAATGTTTTTATTAGATATGTACACATCTATGTATGCATTCTAAGTGAGCAGTATAGTTGTTAATTGACTGTAATAATGGAAAGTTAAATCATATTTCCGCTTTACACGAATGAAAGCTACCATAGAACACGTGTATAACAGCGACTTCGAATGTCGTATAAAATGGCGTCATTCAAAAGCAATAGTAAGTCACACATAGATAATTATGAAATGTTTTTTACACAACCAATAACATTTTCTATGTGACGTTTCAATGACTAGTACGATATGTACACTGTCACCTTCATCAGACAAATGACCAGTGAAGTGTATGCACACAAAGGTGTAAAATGTGTACGAGTTGTCCATAAAATCTATGTTGATTTCGGCTACGCTGGAAACATAAGTACAATAGTTGTTATATATGTACCGAAATGACTCAATTCAGCTACGATTTGTTAACACTTGGTCATAGATGTGCGAGAGTCTTTAAGCCCTCTCGTCTCGATTTAGAACTGGCCCGCTGCGGCGTATCCAGATGGCTTCCTTCATCTGCCGCTTGAACAGATTGCTCTTTCTGGGCAAAACTTTGTTTTATCCTTAGGGTGTACTATGATATTGTAAAGCGTCCTGTGGCTGTTGCTATGCCATGACCGCGATATATCCTCTGGATGGTTTCGGATATACCCTTTATATACGGGATGACCACTTGACCTTTAGTTTTGTTTTTATCATTGATTGGTCTTTTCTTGTTCTTCTCCTTACTTTAACACTGTTTTTTTTACCCGTTTAAGGGCCAATTCCGGATATGCACATGTTCTCATTGTCGTAGCGATGTGATTTTGCTCTTGTGTTTTGTCCTGTTGTTCTGTGACTTTTGTATCACATCTGTAGAGCAATGTGCGTATGACGCCTAACTTCTGGTGTAAAGGATGTTGAGATTTGAAGTTTAGGTATTGATCTGTATGGGTCTGTTTGTATATACCAATACCTTCACGGTTCCGTCTTCTTTCTTTACCAGTATAGTGTCTAGGAAGGGCATTGTGCTGTGGTGTTGATATATTGATAATCCATACTTACCAACCCGAAAATTTGTTTAGAAACACATACATAATGTTGAATTGTTAAACAAAAACATTTCAATTTTTTATCGTAACAAACTGAAAAAACTAATGCATTCTAAACATAATGTGGAAATGGTTATATACAGATATGTTTGTCCAGGAAGCTGTCTTTTATTCAGGAATATCGGATATATAAGCAAAGAAGAAATACCGACAGTGAAGACAAAGGGATTTTCAAACTTTTCGAGGCAATTCACTCTTTATCAAGACAGAAAGATGACCAATTACATAATACAAACAACATATAACAGAGTGTCACCATGAAACAATATTACATCACAAAATGCATAATAGAAAACTGAGTATTACTGTAAAGCTAACAGTGCAAGTTAAAAAGCTTTCAATTGAGTTTAAAAAGATCTCAAAACCAGAAAAAAAAATATTTTGAAAAAAACAAAACTTGTTTTTTAATCTCAATTAAAAGCTTTTTAACTTGCACTGTCAGATTTAATAATGTACTGATGATAACGCATTTACCTACGGCTGGCCGATTGCCGAAGGCTTCTTATAGTAAAGTATTCATCTTGTGTCAGAATCGTAAGGTTGCGGATTTAGGTGAATTAATAGGTGTGGAAAGAAATTGCAAGAAGCAAATAAATCTATAAATGTTGCTGTATGATCTACGTGCAAGCAAGGTGTAAATACTGCACGTCAAAATGGTGGACGGAGTCACTACCACTCGACCAGGTAGTAAAAATAAATCATATACGAAAAATTGTGAATAAGAAATGCTAGTAAAATTGTTATAGATATTAATTAGTATTAGGGTTCGGCTTAATAAATACCAGAAATTTACTCAGACAATTTCGTCCACCAACCTGTGATGGAAAATTGGCTTTGACTCTTTGATCAGGAGAGCAATCCTTATATCCGTGTCTTCTTGATTCATTTTCTTTATTTTGTGTTTATATTATTTATTTTATAGTTCTCTTGTGTTTTCTCATCAAAACACACAATTATATGGGTTCATAAACTTTTGTATGTTGTAACTAGTCTTTAGTGTTTGGCCAAGACGCAGTAAAAACTCAAAAGGAAGATAAATCAGAGGATATCTAACGTATTCCAAAATGCACATCATTTTTATATAACGAACACCAATGAAATTCTTGGTAAGAAGGAAGATGAATCTTGTGGCCGAAAATCCAAATATCTTAGCATATTAATAATCTAACACACTCGTAAGTTATAGCATTAAACACTCAATGATATATATTATTATAAAGAGACTCAATAAACCATACACAGTATTGGAGGTGTTGCAATTCATTGGCTCAAAGCCCCTTGCACAATATTTTCCATAGTAAGGGGACTTTTGTAATCATAAGTTTACTGTATGTCTTACAGTTTATAATTCCAACTAGTCCCAGAGGTTTGACGTAACCTTATTGGCTACACCAATCTATTGTGTGACATGGTTTATAACAAACACATTTAATTAATAGGTACTCGGTCCTCCAATAGTTGATCTTGTATCCATCAGATCCACGAATGGAGACCTTTTTAATAATAGGTGCTAACTTTGAAAGTATGTAAGTATTAATTTCTCTATCAATACATAAATGAAATGCTAGCAAAGCCAGAACAAAGGAAAGATTAATTTGAAAACTACTGACAATATACAAGAATAATAAGCATTTTGTTGTGTCATAGTGAGACAATTAACCCCCAGACCGAATGGAGAGTATAGTTCACATACATGTAGTTCCCCATAGAAATGGGCACCTCAAATTCCTGTTTCACATTAACTGGCGTCTGTACGAGTCTGCAGTACAAGCAACCCTCATCAGCTGGAATGGCAGTGGAATAAGCTGTTTGCTGTTGTTTAACATCCTCCGGCAAATATCAGATATTGAAATAGAAACAGACGACAAACAGACATAATTTATTCTGATGGCGGTTTGGATGGATGATTTACTCCGATGGCAGACAACAGTGAAACTACAAACTATTTATTTTGATGGTTGGCAATGACATTGACTTGAAGGTGGAAGATTACAATGGTTTCTTTTATGTAAACGATTGATTTCAAGGTTATTCAGATACGCCTCAACGCATTATTCAAGAAAATTGCCCTTGACGATTTCGTATATTCTACCGATTTTAATTATATTAAACCTGCGCAGCTTCATATAAAATATAAAAAAATAGCCAATTTCATTTCGGAACCTCTGGTAATATAGACCCGGGAAAGAGTACTTGACCGAGACAGTTTCTGTCATAAAGCGTATGCATTACCACTCTGCTATGAGTGTATCATTTGATTTAAAGCAGTTAAAATATACGATGATATCAAACGTACAATAGGTTTGTTATGTCATCCCTATACACATCTTCCTTGTCACAGCGGCTAAGGTATACATTTCTTATCGTTAAATACAAAGTGTTCCTGCTTGGATAAAACATTCCAGTTGTGAACAATATAAATTGTAGTGACTTGAATTTAATTAAAAAGGTGTACAATGAACCTTAAAACACCATTAACAATATCTATTTTTGGCTTTGCGTCCTATGCATAAAGGTGGATCTACCTAACATACCACTCCTCACTTCCTTGTTTCATTATACGCGGCTGGATTTAGGAAGTTTAGCAGAGGAATATTATCATCGTCTTCGAAATGTCTTTGTCATGGACAATGTGCACATGTATGGTAAGGAATTTTGTTCTCAGTATATTTGAATTGTATGGAATGTATACGTATAGTAAGGGATTGTGTTCCTTGTATATTTGCTGTGTTTGCTGATAAGATAATAATCAAAGTGTCAGTTACGGTAATAGGGTTACTGCTATCTTTTAAGACCGTAATGTGTTGAACATTTTCCCACTTATGTATACACATGCATATGTAGGTTGGAATTTAACGTTGATACACGGGTCAATATCTGTAAAGGTGCAACGCTAACTTATCGTGTATTATAACCTTAATCATGTCATGTTCGTTCGATGGGCGTGGCTTATCATTTTTATTCCATAGCGGTATGAAATAAACGAATCGATCGATTAGTTTAAATCTTGTAAAGCATAATTCGTGAGAGCAAAATCGACATCATACTTTGAATACTTCTATATTGACGATATGGTATATGACAAGGATATTCAATTGTTCCCGTTAGGTTACATATATATTACATCTGTAAAGAATATCTTTAGTTTACAACACAGACTAATGTTATGATCGATTTCGATATCTGTGCATTTACAGTTTGTTTAGATTAGAACGTGGAACTGAATTATAAGTAATATCTACTAATCAGGTCGTGTTACATGTAGCATGAATCTATACACGAACTATTAGTTTTTATCGTTGTATTATTGATGAGTATTATAAAGTGTCTGAATAAAACTGTTCAAAACTACATTAGTAATATAACAGATATATGATAAGATAGCTTTCATTTTTTTCAAGTTTCAGCTGCAGTTGATATCTGTTCGTAATGAATGATTTTAAGACAATAAAGACTCTTCTATATCGGCCGCATTCCTTGATCTTTACCTACAATAAAACACATGGACGGCTTATTACTGAGCTGTGCAATAAGGCGAGAATATTTCGACTTCCGATCGTGACTTACTGCTGACAGACAAACAAACAACACAGGGTTTTCAAAGGTGCAGGGTGATGAAACAAAGTTTTAATGTCGCCATCTTATATACTGCTTCCCTCGTGATCTGACGGTCGGTTATTTTAGTATACTCATAAGTATGCCTTGCACTGTCTCTATCCCAGTTATCAATGTAAGGACGTGATATTACCTCGATTTGACCTAGATTTACATGGCGGGTCTCCTTCCTGGAGACCATGGCATTATTATCCTTGTACTCTTACAAATGAATTCATTGTAAATCTTTCCTTTGATAATATTTTTGTCGTATTGTTATCGATGTTAAGCTCGAATGATGGTTTTGTTGACGATTACGTATTCTCTTGTTGTTTGTCCGCAATGTCAGGTTATGTTATTGTGCGTTTAGACTTTGATATTGTTTCTTTTTAAATTGGCTAAAGGGTGCAACTACTTATAATTGTTTAAATTATTGTCAACAGACAGTTCTGTCCCTGTACATTGGAGGATGCCAGGCAGCAGTGGGAGATGCCTGTCCTGTTGGCAACGAGTGTACAGTTACAGGGGAGACATGTAGTGGTGGAGCATGTGTCTGTGACACCACGACTCATTACCAAAGTGGATCAAGCTGTGTGACAAGTACGTGTGTTGTTAAAAAAAAGATTTATGATAAATATCTCGTTAAATTTAAACATCAACTTAACGTACATTTTATGTTTGTTAGAAGAGAACACTTAGGAAATTAAAATATACAATGTATTAAGTGTTCAATCTGGAAAATAGAAAGTCAACACAACCTGAGCTTAATGATGGAGATGTTAAAGACCGTGATTAATTAAAACAAAGTACAAAGATCAGTAATGAACGGCGACTGACATTATTGAAAGGTTTACTAACAAGTTTACCACACATCAGTAATGAACGGCGGCTGACATTATTGAAAGGTTTAATAATAAGTTTACCAGAAATCACTAATGAACGGTGACTGACTTATTGACAGGTTTACTAACAAGTTTACCCGACATCAGTAATGAACGGCGGCTTACATTATTGACAGGTTTACTAACAAGTTTACCAAACATCAGTAATGAACGGCGGCTGACATTATTGACAGGTATACTAACAAGTTTACCAGAAATCACTAATGAACGGTGACTGACTTATTGACAGGTATACTAACAAGTTTACCAGACATCAATAATGAATGGTGACTGACATTATTGACAGGTTTACTAACAAGTTTACCAGACATCAGTAATGAACGGCGGCTGACAATATTGACAGGTTTATTAACACGTTTACCAGACATCAGTAATGTACGGTGACTGACATTATCGACAGGTTTACTAACACGTTAACCCGTCTGATGTAACCATTGACTTGTTGACTTCCTTGTTTTCTACTTCAGCTGATGTCTGATCTATTGCAATTTACTAATAAACAGCTTTCATTACACCAGGTTCATAAATTAATAGCGGTATGGAATGATTCCCGAAGTATGTCACAGTTTACTTTTCATTTTCAAGAGGATACCTAATGACGTACAGATCACACTTAGGGGTGATAAAAATGATAGTTAAAAAAACAAACGTTATTGAGACCGTTGTTCAGGAATTGCAACTTCGTTTTACTTTTTATTTTCATATAAGAAGATGTAGTATAGCAAAGTAGCTTTGTTGGATAGAATTTGTTTAGATTTTTAGAGAAAATAATTCAATAATTCTTGTTTGAATACCAAGTCTCCATTAAAAGAATTAAAACTTATCTATTAGGGCTATAATTTAATGCCATAATAATAGATTTTTTTTATAACTGGTATAATGTGAAGACCTACATTGTCTGTACTTTTATTTACTTTTTGAAATGTACAAGCTACTATTATATGGTATTGTGCATGCTAGTCACTCTGCAATATAATTTTCTTGTTAATTCAAATTTGCATTATTTATAAAATATGTATACTATCATGCTTTGTATATATATTCAATCCCACATCACATCGCATCAACATACACACCTATAGTATGACTCAGGTGACTGATTAAACCCGCATGAGCCTTTATTCTTTTAATAACTTGTGCATGGCAGTAAACATTGTACAGTATTGGATTACCAGGTATGTGACATGTAGCTAGGTGAAGGTAACCTAGACTGTATTATGATGGTATTATACATATTTAAATATTTCAACCGAATGCACGAAACTGTTGACATTTCACCTGATTTGATGTGAAATTGGTATGTTACAAGAGGTTGTAGCAGGTCTTAGTTGTGCTGGTTTACCTGTTGCAACTCTGCCTGTGTCAATACCATATGTATTGTATTGACTTATGTATATGCTAAATGTATTGATTGTATACATTGTATATCTATGCACTGTAGAGCGTTTTAGAGTGGCTTAGGTTAGATAGGGCGCTATATCAAATGTTGTATATTATATCATTTATATGTACCTGTAACTCGGGTTTCAATGACAGTGATTGAGGTGAATCATCCTGAACATGTGTACCTCTTTAGCATGTAGTTAGCATAGCAACAACATCTACCTCTTCATACTTATTGATATGGATATATTGTATGATGAAGGACTAACTCAGATCTTCCTACACTGCAATTATATTGCATGCATTGGTCCGTGTCAACGTTTTGAAAGACTTCTGTTCTTTGTCAGGATATGTGAGGCTTGATTTGAAGTTTTAATTAACGTTTCATGCAACGTCTGTTGTAAATTCTGATCACCTGTTAACAAGTCACATGTTTTCATTCATATTGATTGATTAATTTCTATAACTGTTGTAAAGGCAAGCAGCAAATACAAACATTAATGTAATGTACTGACATTTCTTTGCGATTGTTTTATCATAGTAAGAGATATGAATGAATTAAACAAATATCCTTGTGCTGAAGTGACCTACAGGATGAATTAATGAAATGGCTCATTTGATGTTGCAAAAGATATATCCAAACGTTAAATTTCAAATTATTAGGTCCTATGATCATGCGAATATTTTTTTCCTAGCATCGTAATGTAACACTCATTTAATCCTACGTTAAAGTTAACTCAAATTTTAAATTTTCTACTCTTGAAATCCTACAGAAACAATTTATTAACATCTAAATGTTACACTTCTGTTATTATATAGGAAAATTTATTCACATCTACATGTTACACTCCTGTAGTCCTACAGAAAAGCTTGATTTATTTTCAATGTTTTTTCTAGCAAATCCTACATTTATTATCATTAAATATGTTGTGACAGATCAGATATCACCACGTCCTAGTGTGTCATAGTCTTTTTTTAATTAAAATAATATACTGCAAATCATAGGGTGTTTTGTCCAGAGCGTGTATAGGGTGGTGCGTTTTATATGCTTTTAACTAGTCTACACTCAGTATTACAAAATATGTTTAAAAGGAAGTTACTTTGAAAGTGAAGTAGGCCAAATCTGAGTTTGACATTGGTAATCTAAAAGTGCACATCACACCAAAAGGTCACTATGTATGTTATGCTGGTGGCGCTGTATGCAATAGTGAAGAATATTTGAATTTTGAAGGAAATGGTGAAATGGAGGCGTAAAATGAATAGTCTTTTAGCTATGTATCCGACTATCATTTTTCTATTCTTCGTATATTCTAGATTTGTACAGTGAAGTTGAAGAGCGAAGTTTCATTATTCTGGGAGCCAATGTTTATTCATACATCTTTCAAGTCTTTTTCGCAATCAGTTTTAAAACAAGGCTGCGTTTGAAGTGTAACACAATTTTCTAACGAAATTTGCATTTTACATTTACATTGTATACGTCGTAGTTACCAATAATGGCATGACACGACGGGAGAGAGAGAATATGTTACTTAACTTGGGTGTTTTTTGAAAGGGCTGATCTTAATCCCTCTACGCTTTCTGCGCACACTACTGTATCATCCAGTTGGTTCCACTCCAACGGTGTTTTGATGAAGAAGGAGTTCTTGTATGCTTCCTGTTTGTATCCTGGGATGATTAATGGCCTTAAGTTGTTGACAATGTTCCTGTTTAATGTTGCTGATGTTTCATAGTTCTCATAACGCTTTGTGCTTGTTTTTCGCGTCCTTCCAGAGTGCTGGATTATCTGATCTGGGGAGAGGGCTGGTATTAACCCCTCAACCAACTACTTTGTACATGAATACTAGCCGCTATGATTTCCTTCTGTTTTGTAAGGTTGGTAGTTTTAGGTGTTGTAGCATTTCTGTGACACATCCTTCATCACGACTTTTGTAATTCCTAGTAATTAGGCGAGCTGCTGTTCTTTGTATTCTCTCTAGTTTTTCAATGTCTGATTTTAGATGAGGGTCCCAAATAATACTGCCATAGTCCAGAATCGATCTAACAAGCGATATATATGCTGTTTTCTTACACTCTTTTGGGCAGTGTTTACAGTTTCTTCTCAAAAAGCCTAAAGTTGAGCTCGCGATGTTGCTTATATGAGTACTCCATTTGGGGTCGTTTTATATCTGGAGTCCTAGGTATGGATTGTTTTGTACCTCTTCCAAAATGTGGTTATTCAGACAGTAGAATTTTTCCTTATTGACATGATGTAGCATTAAATTTCATGCCCCATTTATCTGCCCATTCTTCAATGTTTTGTAGGTCATTTTGGAGGATGTTATGGTTATTGAATGTTTTTGATTTGTTGATACAAAAGGCAGTCGTCGGCGAAAAAGCGCACTTGTGATTTGACTGAGTCTGGTAGGTCATTTATGTGGCAGAGGAAAAGGAGTGGTCCTAGTACCGTCCCTTGAGGCAGTCCGGAGGCGTGATGATACAGTTGGGTGACCGCACAATGCACCAAAAATACCGTGCGCACACCGTGCATACATTGTTCACACACCGTCCGCACATCGTCCACACATGTTGCGCAAAACTGTGCGATTTAACAATCGTTCGCGCCGTTGTCCGCACAACTGTGCGATTTGGTACAATTTGTTGATCAATATTACGGAATGAAAAAAATACGGAAGGCTTATATGCAATATTGTACACTGTATATATTACTGTAATTTCTCATCAGAATAATTAAGATTATGTACAATTTTACAATGCGTGTAACACAGTATACAGTGACCGTTAGAATGTCAAGAATGGGTTTGGCCTCGGTATCAGAATAGGTAAATAACAATTTGATGAGTGACCGTAGTTTTACCTGGCCTTTGCCTGAAACGTGGTACCGTATGACCGTTAAGCAAACACACCTGGACGTTTAATATTTGTTATTTGCATTCGTTTTGGTCTATAGCTCCCCTTCACCTGGTTTTCACACCTTGGCGAGTTATGTACGTGCCCCGGGCGGGGGAAAACTACGGTCCAGCAGAGATGTATTATACGTCTCTGGGTCCAAGTACAAAGTGGCTTTGTTTACCTGTGTTGCCGAGACTGTGTTGTAATTTTACATGTGTCGATTATGGTCGACAAACCGAAAACACCATTTCTAAATTTAAGAAAGTATAGACAGATAGATAAGCTTATAGATGTAGCTTGAATATAGAAACATACTCAAAAAATCAAGTGTATATGTTTAAATACGAAACCGTATATACTGTTAAGCCATTCCTCAATTTAAACAAACCTCGATTGTTATCGCACAACGTTCGTCGATCGTCCGCACAAATATGTGCAAGCAATGATCGTCCAATTTTTAATCGTTCACACTTCGAGCACACACCGTTCACACATCGTGCGCACAAAGCTCAATGATGTGTAAAAATAGTTTGACTATTGAAATAAATTTGACCATGATGTTATTTGAACAAAATGTTTGATATGAAATAGAGGTGTGTGATACAGACCCACCGAGCCTGTTGTTAGTTAATCTTTGCTTACAGACAAATACTAAACGAATTAAGGATATGTTTATATATTGCTATCATTGATAACTATACCGATTATACTTGTATTTTTCTGACACCTAGGGCTCCTTCTCATCTACAGGAAAACAGTATTATCAATATAATTTGTAAGTAATCAAATAAAATCCATTGTTAACGATGGGCCAGTAAACAAAAAAGCAATACTAGTAAGATTACAATATGATGTGTTTATGATAATGTATAGTTTATGACTAGAGACAATAACTCCCAGCTTATGTCAATTTTGCCCCAGATTTAAATAAATGAATAAAATACTTTTCAATAAGGATTAGATCCAGGAGTGACATGTCCTGTATCACCGACCAATGCATGTAAAGACAACTCTGTGTGTACCCTTATTAGTCAGTGTACCTGTAACCAGGGCTACTACGACAGTGACGGTCCATCAACCAATAACGGGATATGTACTCCAAGTAAGATGTTTACACGTAAATACTAACAAATAGTGATGTGGTGATCATGAGTAGTTACAATACTACAACTAAAGGCAGCACTGTGACTGAATCAGAGAATATGTATCAAATCATTATTTAATCCTGACTGTGAGTTTACTTGGATTTTTTCGATATCTGAACTGCCTTATAGAAGCTTTATATTTCTTATGCTTTTTATCTCCCTTTGACGAAGGAGTGAAAGTGAAACTAGGATGTAGCTTTTCACATTAAGATCAAACTTCATGTTTTCAACTAAGCTGACACAGACAGACACGTCATTCTATAGAATGCTTGTTGTATAAGTAAATTGTGTAACAGAGACATACATGATCATGTGATTATAAATGCTGTAAAGTGTACAACATATATGCTAACACATCTTCAATGTAACAACACTTTTCATTGGTTAATAACCGTGTAATATTTGAAGATAGACTGTGCTCGTGCTTGTATTTTTGTATCCAACAGACCAACGCTCATCCAAAAACCTCTCTCGCAAATATTAACGAGTGTGTAATGGGACTTGTTTCCTTTGTTTAATGATGGGGCCGTGATGGGGCCGTGATGGCCAAGTGGTTAAGTCGTCTGACATTCTGCTACCACTAGCCCTCCACCACTGGGTTGAGGGTTCAAGGCCTACGTGGGGCAGTTGTCAGGTACTGGCATGGCTGTAGGTCGATGGTTTTTCTCCCTGGGAACTCTGGGCTTTCCTCCACAATGAAAACATGGCATGTCCTTAAATGTCCATAGCTGTTGATAGGACGTAAAACATAAAAACAAATTGTTGAATGAGCTAAGGGTATATGCATTACATTCTATATGTGTTTGAAGGTTTGCTAGCAGAAAAACATATCAAGATCACGGTCAAAATGTTACGCTAAACTTACCGCTAAAGTTGATTTGAAAGAATGTTTGTAAGTCTGCCAGATGCTGATGTCCTGTGTTGACGAGCGATGTCAATAAATTGGTGGATTTGATTAATTGAAATTAATATCTGGTATGACCTTAGTGTTAATGGTGAAAACGGTGACTGAAAATGAAAAATACTTTATATGAAAATAATCAACTCTTCATTAATGATTTTTTCGAATATTTTCTCACGATTTTTATTCATTTTCTCATTGTCGTTAAATTCCATGCTGCTGTAGTTTACAACAAGAATATATATATTCATGACTTTATATTCAAAACTGTTTTCAATGAAGTATCTCAATCATGTATGTGTACATTGTATATAGAGTTAAAGATGTATTATATTACAGCACACACAAGTTTTACTTTTGTTTACTTAAAGCATAACGCTCCTGTAATCCTGCATTAAAATAATGGTCTGCTTAGTAATTACAGGGAATTACAAATTTTGCCAAATATAAATTATTGGATATTTAAATCAGGTTTTATGAAGCTTGCTAAATTATTTTTTAAATAATGTTTGTGTACAAAACAAATTAATCATATACTTATTACTTTGAGTTGACTTTATTTTTGAA